AGTATCAAGCTGCTTTTTAAACGAGTCCAGTGTCCTAGCCCCAACCACCCTTCCTGGAGAACCCCCTACCTCTGCGACTTACTTACCCCACAACCCGCTGCCTCCACTCGACCGATTCCTGCCTTCTGCATGTCCCTCATGCCCTTCATTTCACCATTGATGGCTGCGCATTCGGCCACTACGCCCCGAAACTCTGGAACTCTCTTCCTCTATCCCTCCGCCTTGCCCCTTTCTTCCCCATCTTCAGGTCGCGCCTGAAGACCTTCCTATGTGACTGTGCTTATGGTCAACCCCCCACCCCCAGGCTTGGAGTTGTGCTCCGCCACTGTCCAGCATTTTGGGACGCTACATAAATGCAAGTTGTTGTTGTTGAGACCTGTTTGTCATTAATTACCCTCTGAGTAAAGAAAAACTTCCTAGTGTCTGTCCTGAAATTGCCCTTTCCAACTCAAAGCATATCCTCTTGTTCTACTGGGTTGGTGTATCCTAAAGTATTGTTCTGGGTTTACTTTTTCAATCCTATTTAAACTTTTAAAGACCTCTGTGATGCCCCAATTTGCCTAATTGTCGCTCATAGTTCATTTACTCTAACATTGGGGATCCTCATTGCTCTCCTCTGCACTCCTCCAAGGCCTGGGCAGTACATTTATGTTGTGTTGATCAGAACAGTATTTAATGCAATCTGACCGCAGCCCGAGTATGAAATCAGAGGCTCTAAACTCAACTGACTTAGCAATGCTTTTGCCTTTTACTGAACTGATGATTATCTGGAGGGACCTTGTCATGACATCATATAGAGGATTAAGCTTTGGAGAATCAAGTACGGAAAGAAGCCAAACCTTTACCCTCTTTATGGCCTCAGAGTTTTGCCAGGTTAAGTCCCAGGGCACTCCAGCATCCCTTTTGCCTAGTTTATTGTTGCCTGGTAAGTCTTGAGGAGTTTTCCAGAGAATAATAATAATAATAATCCCTGCATTACATATAGCGCCTTATCGCGTCTTCAAGAATCTCAAAGCGTTTCACAGAATATACTGTAAAGTGAATTGGCTGTATAGTTTGTGGACAAATCGTGGCAGACAATTGCGCACAGCAGTGTCCCACAAAGAGTCGTGGATTGAGAGACCAAATTATTATTATTATTTTTTGAAGGAATTTTTACCCCCGCAAAAGCGACTAACGACTGGGTTCCTACTTACTGCTAGGTAAACAGTCATGTGGAGTAAGGAAACTTGCCCAACATTTTGTCCTGCCAGGGCTCTCGCTTGCGAGGCGAGTGCTCTAACCACTGAACTACAGGACTCCACAATGGAGGCAGAATGGCTGAAACCTCAATTGCCGATAGTAGGGCATGGAGGGCATAGGGCATACGGTAGGATTGTAGGAGGTTTGCAGAGGTAAGGTTGTGTAGAGGGATTTGAATGTGCGAATAAGGATACTGAATTCTATCTGCTGGGGGATGAGGAGAGAATCAGAGGCTGGAGGTTTGTCAATTATCAGTCTAATTACCCTCCATGAAAAAGTTGCAGCTGTCAGCCTGGCTCAGTTGGTAGTCCTCTTGCTTCTGAGTCAGAAGATTGTGGGCTCCAGCCCCACGTTAGGGCTTTAGGCTCATTATTGAGGCTGACATTCCATTGCAGTGCTGGGGGTGCGCTGCATTGTCATAAGTGACATCCTTCGACCAAGACGTTAAACTAAGGGCCTGTCTACCTGTTCAGGTACTATTCGAAAAGAGAATACACATTAAGCCCTGTAAAACACTTTGAGATGTTTTGACAATGTGAAAAGGCTCTATATCAATGCAAGGATTAGTGTTAATTTTTACTATTATTAAATTGTTTTGTTTATATTGTACTACTTCCTGCAACTCTCTCTACTTGACTAATCTCTGGGCTTCCCTGCACATAGGTGGGTTTATTAAAATGGATGCAGGTTTGGCAATAGTAATACCCTCTACTATATTGGCAAGATCACATCTGTTTTAATAGGCCCGCTTCCTGTTTTACCACTCATTTTCTACTCATCTTTGTAAAGTACTCTGAGATGTTATTGTACGTGAAAGGCGCTATATAAATGCAAGGTGTTGTTTTCACACTGGGTACCAGTCAGTCTCCTTTTGGTAGCTGACTCAATCAACAGTTCTATGTGTAAAAACTCATACAGTCAAAGTCAAAAAGGCTATTCAACTGTGGGCGGGGGTTATAGTGCACCACATAGTGTCCATCTCCAAAGTTTAAGTTATTTAAAAAAACTTTTTTCCCAACATTACTCCTTCAAAGCTCGTCTCAAGACCTTCCTTTTTAACCGTGCTTCCGGTCATCTTCCCTCCTTCACCCCCTTTGCTCTTCACACCTCTCTGATCCCAACTCGCAGCTCGGGTGCAAATCCCTCACTGTTCAACGCCTTGGGACGTCCTGTTGTGGTTTACATGTGTCCACAAAACACGCAGTCATTACACTTTACAGTACATCATTGGGATGTCCTCCTGACATAAAGGTCACTATTCCAAATGTAAGTATTATTATTAATCATTTTTATTATATGAGCATTGTTTAACAAGGAGCCACAGTAATAGCAACAGCAAACTGAAAACCCTGGTCAATTTGCTCAAGGACGCTGAGTGTCAAAAAATACAGCACGTTGGCTTAAGGTTGTTACCAGTTTACATATAATAATGTTAGCAAAATATCAATAAGGGTTTGAGCAAGCACCAGGGAGGGGAAACAAGAAAGAGAGACATTGGAAACTATTACAGATTTTTAAAATTCCCAAATCCTAATAATTCAAGACCAGTGTAAAGGAGTAATCTTTTAGTTCTTCTTTATTCCTCTAGTTGGTCAGCACCCCAACGCACACTCTGGGGTTCCCAAGATTTGGCTCTTGCCAACCTGTGCCTAATAATTTCCTGAATTAGATACACAGGATGCGTCTCTTATTTTTAATAAACGACTGTTTTTGGGACCCGTCTGTGTGCAATTGGCTGCTGCGTTTCGCCCACAAAATATACAGTCAATTAATTTACAGTATATTTTGTGTAAGACGCTTTGAGATGTCTCAATGACGTGATCAGACCCTATATCAAATGCAAGTATTACTTAATACATTCTAACAATCTATCACTGGAATTTACATGTGTAGGTGGAATGCACGGAATTCTTAGTTTGGCTTGGATACTCTTAAGCACGGTGATGGGTTTCCGCATGTGTCAGACACCTGGCCGACCAAAACAAATTCAATCCAATAAAATAAAACAGCTCAAACAGAAAAATGTAACAATGTATAAGGAAAGGGTAGGGGAGTGGAATTACATATCCATAACGGATTTAAGCAGGCACCAGGGAGGTGAAAGGCGCTATAATAAATGCAATGTATTGTTTCTTGCTTTTGTAAATGCAATACAATGACTCTTTCAAAGAGCCAAGGTTTGCCTCATTCTGTGCTGTAAATTATATGGTTCTAAAGTTTAGAAATAGACTTTTAACAAAAGAGGTGCCTTACCCAGTGCCTTGGGATACCCTCCCGACATGAAAGTCGCTAAAATAAATGCAATTTGTTGATGTTACAGATTTTGTCAAAGGTTAGTGGATGACAATACCCTTCACCACTATAAAAATAATAATAATAATCCTTACATTTGTTATAGCGATTTTCATGTTGGGAGGATGTCTGAAAGCCCTGGGTGATTGAACACAGTAGCCAATTTGCACCTAGCAATGTCGCACAAACAGCTATTCAGGAAGTGAATGTGGAATTATATTTGGTGTATTGTTGTCCAGGGCGCTGAGTGAAACTCCCTTCTCACTGATTTACATTTTTCATTTCCTTAACAATAACTTTGATCATCCACGGCACGTTCACAAACACACAAGTCACCACACTTCAAAATAAAGTCCTGCAAGACACTTTGGGACATCTCGAGGACACAATAATGTACCGAATCAGGCTCAAGGAATATCATTATCATCACACTGCATTAACAAACAAACAACAACATCATCAAATAATTACACATGTGTAGCGCCCTTCACATCAGAAAGACACCCTTTGGTTAAACACAATCTTTTGTGATAAGATTGTCACTTCCTAAAAAATACATCATTTGTAGAGAAAGTGTTAGGAGTTGTATTTCGTCAATCAATCCACGACTATTTGTGGGACACTGCTGCGCGCAACTGGCTGCCAAGTTACACCCACAAAATACACAGTCACTACACTTTACGTTATGGGCACTTACAATATAATCTGTGAAGCGTTTTGAGACGTCGTAACAATGTGAATAAACGCTATATAATAACAATAATAATCCTTGCAATTGACAGAGAGCCTTATCACGTCATTCTGACGTCTCAAAGCGCTTCACAGAATATACTGTAAAGTGAATTGACTGTATATTTTGTGGGCGAAACACAGCAGCCAATTGCGCACAGCAGTGTCCCACAAACAGTCAGGGGTTGAGTGACCAAATTATTATTATTTTGATATCAAATGCAAGGATTATTATGATTTTAAACTGTAATATTATTTAAATATTTGGATTTCTTTTTTAAGACAAAATAAACGCTGAAGAAGACCGTAGACCGAGAGGATTTGGGCTTTCATATATATATATATACATCAGCCTTGCAGAGTGAACCATGAGTGAGTGTCTCAGCACCTACCTGATCTGCAGAATCATGCAGTTAACAGGAGCTTCTGTGAATGATGAATAATTCACAGGATCCCTTTTTGTGTTCCTGTCCACCAGATGGTTATTAACAGTGCTTCAGTTACACCAGATAGATAGAGAGAGGGTAGAGAGAGAGAGAGAGAGAGGAGATACAGAGAGAGAGAGAGAGAGAGGAAAGGAACCTATTTGTATCCTTGAGACAAACTGGAGGATACAGTACAAGGCCCTCACTGAAGAGTTTAGTTACAAAGTTTAGGTTTAATGTATATTTTCCCCACCTCCACAGAAAGCAGGCACAAGCCTGGCAGGTCAATGAACCCCCTGTGACTGCACTCACCTCCTTTATGATACAGATGATGGTCATGCAGCAAAGAGAGAGAGAGAGAGAGAGACCCACACAGATGTCCTTCACAGCACAATGTCTCTCTCCTGCCACAGCTCAGCCTCAGAGCCCAGGAACCTCCCCAGATTGATGCACAAACACCCCCCGCCTCCCTGCCTGCCTATTCCTGCTTCTGTGTGGCTCTCTCTCACCCATCAATCAACACTCCAATGGTTCACTGTCAACAGCCTGGTTCTTCCACTGGGAGGAGAGCATTTGTCACCTCGCAGTCAGAAGGTTGTGAGTGACAGACATCCCGCCACGTACGTACTTTGATAGTCTTAAAAGCTGAAGCTCCGATTACATTGCTGGGGGAGCGCTGTTCTGTTGGATGTGTTGTCCTTTCTTCTTATGAATATGATAATAATAATCCCGTTTTAAATGATATCACGTCACGAGATGATTCAAAGCGCTTCGCAGAATATATCGTAAAGTGAATTGATTATATATTTTGCGGGCAAAATGCCAATTGCACACAGCAGTGCCCCACAAACGGTTGTGGATTTAGTGACCAAATTGTTAGTTATTTACTTTTTGAAGCGTTTATTACACTCGGAAAAGTGATCCACAAATCGACTAACAACTGGGTTCCAACTTACTGCACTTACTGCTAGGTAAAGAGGCATGTGGAATAAGGAAACCTGGTTAAGGTTTTGCCATGCCCGGGAATCGAACCCGGCTCCTCTCACTTGTGAGGCGAGCCCTCGCTATCTTCAGATGAGACATTAAAGTCATGAGACGCACGGAAAAAAATAATCACCCACTCCATGGCTGTTTGTTGGGACATTGCTGTGGGCAAACTGGCTGCCGTGTTTCGCCCACAATATACACAGTCAATTCACTTTACAGTATATCCTGTGAAGCACTTTGGGACACCTTAATGACGTGATAAGGCGCGATATAAAATGCAAGGATTATTATTATTATTTAAGGACAGCACATCCAGTTTGACATATTGTAGTCATATGCCACAATCAACCATGAAAGTCAAATATTACAGTCGCTGGACCTTGAAGTCAATCTGCTGATCTCAAACCCTTTCACATCCTTGTCAGAGAAGATTCAGGTTACCTTGAACAAATGCAATTTGTGTTCAGTCTATAAAAATAATAATGATAATCCTTGCATTTGACATAGCGCTTTTCACGTCTTTGAGACGTCTCAAAGCACTTCACAGAATATACCGTAAAGTGAATTGACTGTGCATTTTGTGGGTGAAACGCGGCAGCCAATTGCACACAGCATTGTCCTTAAATAATAATTGTGGATTGAGTGACCAAATTATTTTTTTTTCAAGGATTATTTTCCCTGGAAAAGCGATTTGCCAATCAACTAACAACTGGGTTTCTACTTCCTGTTAGGTAAACAGAGGCATATGGAGTAAGAAAATTTGCCCAATGTTTCGCCCTGCCAGGAATCACACCAGGCCTCTCGCTTGCGAGGTGAGCGCTCTAACCACTGAGCTACGGGACTCCACTGTAATAAAAATTCAGCAGGTCACGCAGCATCTATGGAGAAAGGAAAGTGAGTCAACGTTTCGGGTGCATGACTCTTCGTCAGAACTATACATAGGTTTATATACAGCTGTTTCCTATAAAAGAATATCTCCAAACATTTACGAGATTAGTCAATTTTGATCTAATTAGCTAATTTCAATGTATTACTGGTTCAGTAGCCTTTTTGTTGATCCATTGGGCGTCTGACACACAGAAACCTATCACCAGGCTTAAGAGCACTTACATGCCATTTATACTTGGAAATTTCCCCAAGTAGAGTGGAATGCACACACCCTCCCTAGAGGGACCACTTGCTTAGTCTCAGGGTGGACTGGGTAGGGTAGGCAATTGCATCAAATCACAGTGAGGTTTCACAGTTAATAATAACAATCCTTGCATTTGACAAAGCATTTTATTGGCACTGCCAAAATGACTCAAAGCATTACTCAAGATATAACTGTAAAGTGTAGCCACTGCTTATTTATAGGCAGCCAATTTACATATAGCAGTGTCCCAACCATGAAGTGAAGGACCAATTTTATCTGGGGGATTGTTGGCCAGGACCCCAAGAGGAAGTCTTCTCTTTACGATCTTTAACATCCGTCTGAACAGGCAGATGGAGGCCACCATCCTCCTGCCCACAGCTTGGACACACATCCCTACTCATTGAGCGATGATTCCATCAATTGGAAGTCCAGAGAACATAAGAACAGAAGAATTTTCTCGGTGAAAGAAGACCAAGGTCCATCCAGTTTGTCTTCCACCATCCTGGCAGTTGCATGACATGTCATCTGAGGTATTATTTCCTAACAGAAATCTATCTAATTTGTTCTTGAAAGAATCAACACTGTCTGCTTCCACCATCTCCCTAGGCAGCCTGTTCCATACTATTTGCTCACTGAAGTAGCGTTTCTGCAGACTTGCTCTGAATTTACACCCCCTGCAATCGCAGGCCATGTCCTCTGGTTTTACTGTTCAGTACAAGATAAAACAGCTTATCCACCGTCTTCATTTTGTTTCCACAAACGGCTTTTCCTCCAGACCCCGCACTGTCTCGTGTGGTGTCCCTCAGAGATCTGTCCTCGGTCCCCTCCTCTTCACCCTCTATGTGCTCCCCCTCGGTGACATCATCCGCAGACATGGGGTTAACTTCCACATGTATGCGGATGACACCCAACTCTACCTTTCCTCCTCTACCCTCAACTCCACGACCCCCGATGTCCTGACAGCTGCCTGTCCGACATCGAGTCCTGGACGAGAGACAACTTTCTTCAGCTCAACGTGCGCAAAACTGAGGCCCTCCTGATTGGCTCACGTCAGCGCCTCCGCTCCTCAGGTGCTGACAGCATCAGCATCCAAGGCTGCACTCTCCACCTCTCAAAGCCGGTCAGGAACCTCAGCGTTCTGTTCGACCCTGAGCTGTCCTTTCTTCCTCATATCCGCGCCACAGCTGGCACCGCCTTCCATCACCTCCGAAACATCGCCAGACGACGGCACTACCTCACCCCTCATGCTGCTGAACTCTGGTCCACGCCTTTATCACCTCAAGGCTGGACTACGGGAACTCTCTCCTCGCCGGCCTTCCCGGCACCTCCCTCCACACTGCAGGTCATTCAGAACTCTGCAGCTCGTGTACTGTCCCGCACCAGGCTTCACGACCACATCACTCCCACCCTCGCTCGCCTCCACTGGCTCCCCATCCCCCAGAGGATCGAATTCAAGATCCTCATCCTCACCTACAAGGCCATTCACGGCCTTGCTCCCTCCTACCTCTCCGACCTTCTATCCCCCTACTTACCCGCCCGTACCCTCCGTTCCTCTGGCTCCGGTCTGCTCCACATCCCCCGCCCCAACCACCCTACCATCGGTGGCCGGGCCTTCAGCCTCTCAGCCCCGAGGCTCTGGAATTCCATCCCCCAGTGCCTTCACCGCCTCCTCCCTTTCCTCCTTCAAGGCCGGTCTCAAGACCTTTCTCTTTGACCGTGCCTTCACGGTCGAATCTCTACCCCCTCCTCGCTCCCTCCCTTCCCTCCCCTCACCCTGACCATTTCCCCCCTGCTCAGATCCTGACCCAACTGTCCAGCACCTTGGGACGTCCTCCTGACGTGAAAGGCGCTCTATAAATGGAATCTTGTTGTTGTTGTTATCTTGGTCTATGTTATCTAGTCCCTCTTCAGCTTCAGAGGCAGCTGCTTACTTCTCTGCATACTCGGTATCTAACCCTGTCTCTGTGAATCATTCTGAGATGTTGCTGAAACCTGTCGTTGGTCATGGCAGGAAAGGCCACACTGAGTTGGTGCCACATGTTAAGGGCACTATATAAATGCAAGGTGTTGTTGTTGTCATTGTAGGATTTCACATTCACCGTTGCCAGTCACCTTCCGAAACCTTCCTTGAGTGATTTATCTTAAATTTATCCCTGTAAACTGCAACAGTTACTTTCAAGTAACACAGCTGCCATACACAGAACTGAAACCACAACTGGTAACCAGAGGACACAGATTTAAGATGATTCGCAAAAGAACCAGAGGGGAGACGAGAAGAAATTAATTGCCCAGTGAGTTGTTATGATCTGGAATGCACTGCCTGAAAGCACGGCGGAAGCAGATTCGATAGTAGTTTTCAAAAAAGGAATTGGATATGTACTTGAAAAGGAAAGATTTGCAGGGCTATGGGGTAGTGCGGGGCAGTGGGATGAGTTGGATAGCTTTTTCAATGAGCCGCCACAGGCTGTAAGATTCTATGATTCTGTGATTCTATGCAACAAATCATTCCATCAGGCACTCTGACAACAATGTAAACTAATGCAGGCACGTCTCTGGGGCACGTAGACTCAAGTGCTTCTGTAAAACTAGTTCCGGGTGCTTGAAAACTGAGCTGTTTATAGGTTCTACAACAGCAGGTTTTTCTTCAAACAACTGAGTGTGGCTCCGTGCCATCTGGGTTCGAGGGCCTCAGCTGTGAACCTACTGGTGTCTCAAAAAAATTACTGTCTCCAGAGAAAAGCCCCCGTGAGTTGCACAGTTGTCAGATTGTCTGCTGAAATGATCTCGTTCAGTTGCGTGTATTGCCTGTTTTACGAAGAACACATAGAGAGTCATCAAAACGTCATCGACCTGAAATATTAACTCACTTTTCCCTCTCCATAGATGCTGCCTGACCTGCAGCGACTTAGCTAACCTTTATGGTTGGCTAACAGAATAAATGTTATGGATTGAGTATTTCTTGATTTATGCCATAATTCGAGAATTATTCAATCAAGAGAGAAATAAAAACACACTAACAAATGAACACAGACTTACCTAGACTCGTGCAATTTTTGGGGGGATGGGAGAGGGGGTGGGGGGGCTGCTGATTATTGACAGCCCCGAGTGCCACTTCCGGCCCGTGGGTCACAGGTTGGCCACCACTGAACTAGCACCTCAAAGAACTTCCCAGGTAATTGCTGTCAAGTGTAGTGACTATTTTTCCTCCATGGTCTTGCCCCACTCTACCTCTGCGACCTCCGAGCCCCCAACCAACTCGCCTCTTCCCTCCGCTCAGCCGGCTCCGGCTGCTCCACGTCCCCCGATCCACCCGCCCCACCATTGGCGGGAGAGCCTTCAGCCACT